GAATGAAGGTTTGGGAGCGAGTTCGGGGTCGATTGGACGAAGATCGGACATGTGGCGTGGCGCTGAGGAAGCCACACGGGCACTCATAAAACCCACACGGCTGTATAAGGAACCAAAGTGGCCGTGTGGGATTTAGCGAGGCTTCACACGGGCACCTTGGGATTTCCACACGGCCGTGTAGGAAGCCTGAAGTCCACTTAATCGAAACTCCGCGTTTTGACACTCACACGGGCAGCTGGGTAAGCCACACGGCCGTGTGGCCTGGCCGTGTGATCGGAAAAGCTGGGTTTTAACCCAATTTCGAGCCAAAGGAGGGGGATCGACTTTTTGGAGCAAAAACAGAGCCCTAGAGAGAGAAAGTGCGAAGAACACATCCTAAGAGTGGTTTTGGAGCTGGGTTTCATCAAATCGAGCTTGGAGATCATCATAGGAGTTAAAATCATCATCTCAGAGCAGATTCTTCCCATTGTTATGAGTATGACTGCTTTGTATTCTGTTTTCTCCTCTCTCTCTATGGAGTAGAACTTTCTCTCACTTGGGTATGAAGAACCCTAGTTCCATGTGTTAGGGATCTTGACTGTAATGACTTGGGATTGTTATACTGTTTGTTTATAATCGAATGATGCATGATTCATTGAATTAATTGAAGTCTGATCAGCTTTTCTTGATTTCTGCTGCAACCTGAGATAGAGAGAATCTGATTAGGTTGTTAGAGCTTCATCATTCGGTAGTAGTAGATTGGTTATACGAGATTTAGTCAATCTACTGCTTTGTACTGGAATCCAATTCCAGTAGTGGAGTTCTGTGTTCATAGCCTCAGCTTTCTATCCCGGTGAAGGTTAGTCGCCTGCCGGGTAGTTGGACTGAGAGGGCTTGGTCAGCTTAAGAGATTCCAAGCTACTGTCGGATCTTCCGCAGTTTAATCAACAGTAAATCAACCCAGGGTAATTACAATTGAGACCTAACTAAGGAGCTAGGGGGACTCATTCCCGAGTGACTCTTCCTTGACTTCAGAAAACCAAACCATTTCCTGCTTTCTTACTGCTTTTACTTAAAACAACAATCACTCAACTTAGTTTGCTAGATAATAGATAATCACTGAGTAGGCAGTAGATCTAGACCCCGGGTTGACATTAGAACTTGCTACTTTACTGCATTCCCGGACTGCGATTATTACACTTGGTCGCAGTCTGGTGTTGTGTTTTAGCATGTCAGGGGTGTAACACTAACTATTTCAATTACTTACCGTAACTCCCCGACAATAGCACCAAAAACTTGATTGCTGCTTCGATCGAGCTTTAAATTATAGAGTCGAAGCGCACTTACTAGTCAATCCTAACAAGGCCAAGTATAACCAAACTAGGGATGCAGTAAAGCGGCTCGGTCGTATTCCAAGGGTCACGGTAGCCTAGGCTACTTAGGCTCGGTCATTATCTAGTCAACCTGTTGTTCGGCAGGGGGAGTTGACGATTCTTAAACTAAAGATCAATAGAAGAGAAGAAGTACTCAGGGTAATTACCTCGCCCTAGTCTAGGTCTACTATGTAATGTATAGAAACTTAGGGTTTATTGAATGTGGTGAGTGACCTCTTTTCCGTGGGTTTTCGTGCTTATCCACACACCTTCGAGCACGCCTACCCTAGACCCATATAAAGTCACCTCGATCTAGGCTATCGTATTTGGGGCATTAAGCTCGTAGCTCCTTTCAATGGGTACTACCCATCGTCCAAACCGAGGTTTCACCCCAGGTTCTATTTAGGAAGGCTACCTATGGCAGGGGTTCGGTCACCTCGACCACCATAGATCCCTATTCATACATCTAACCTAATTTACTTGATGGTGCATAGCCGTCTAACCCTAAAACTCAATACCTAGCATAGAAGCATAAATTAGGTTAGTAGAGAAGATTAGAGCGACTTACCCAAACACAATCAAAGTCATAATAGCAATAAAATCAACTAGAAAAACACATTCATTCATTCAAACCGTAAAAATCCATACATACATAGTAAATCTAAAACTAGGGTTTGGGGTTTAGAACCCCTAGTACCTTGCAGATCACCCCGTGGAGGGGGGAAGAAAAGATATACAAAGAGGGGAAGAAATTGTGAAGAAAGGGTCTTCAAGTGATGGAAATCCTCCTCCAAGCTCTCCTCCACTTCTTCTCATTCTCTTCTTCTCCTTCTTCAACTTCTCTCTCTAATCTCTCTCTAGAATTAGAAATCTGCCAAAATCCACCTTCTAAATGGGGAGAAGTTCCCTATTTATAGACTTTAGGGGACACGGACAAGTTCGCTTGCAAGGGGCTGTAGATCGTGCCCATGAACTAGAGGTTGCGATCTTAACGACAAGTTCGCTAGTAAGGGACTGAAGATCGCGCCCATAAACTAGAGACTGCGATCTTAACGGAAAGTTCGCGGGCTAGAGGCAAAATATCGCGGCCGGGATCTTTGGGGTAGAGGCTCTGATCTTTGAGGGTCACCATTTTTGCATTGCTGAATGTGGAGTTCGAGACATAACATCCCGGTCAAGATCCGAGGTGTCATGGTTGCAATCCTTATCGCGGGCATGAAAGCCTTGGACCGTGATTATATTGGGGAAACTTTCTGCTCCTCCCAAGCTAGCCTCTTATGAATTTCACAACCTTGGCTCCAAAGTTCGTGGCCGTAAACTTGAGGCTGCGATCGTCAGGTCAAGCTTGCGGGCTGGAGACAAAAGATCACAGTCGGAATCTTTGCACTGCAGGCTGCGATCTTGTGCTCTGGTTCATGCCCTCTCTTCATGGCTGGGATCTTGGCTCCTTCGGCCATGATCTCCGTTTTTTCCCCTTTTCGTACCTAATTCGCATGTATTGTCTAAAGCACCCTAAAATCATGTCATAATCAAATAGGAACGAAATAGGGATGCAATCGACGCTATTCTACTAATTATGCACATGAATTAGCATGAAACAAACCTTAATATAAAGGATAAATAACACCAATTTATGTGTTATCAAGACTCCTAGCCACATTAACATGCAAGCACATCATGCAATTCAACCCAAACATCAACGACTAACTATGCATTAGAGTCTCAAAACATTAGGGTGGACTTTTGATATATGATTTAAGCTTTGAATGCTTCTACCATCAACTTGGCATTCCCTTAAGCAATTTTCCTTATTCGAACACATACTTATTTTTCTATTTTTTGAATTTTCTTCTCTTGCAATTTTTTTCTTTTTCTAGACGTTTCTTGTGTGGAGAGCTTTCTATAGCATTAGACCCTTATTGGTTGAGAAAACCTAAAAGCTTCTATACCTTAACTCGTGTGGATGGTCAATGGAGTTGAGGGGTTTCAGAAGCTTTATCTGTCCCCTTAAAAACACATCCTCTAGTTGGCTATCAATTCAACACGTGAAAATTTTACTTGTACTAGAGAGGAAATAGCATCACCTTGTTGGACTTGCCCACTAAATCTCAACTACTATCTCTTCCAAAACCCGATTTTGTGCAATTAAAAGATGCCTCACACATTGGGCTTACCATCCACTTTATTTCTCAACATAACATGGAAAATTAGCTATCTAAACATTTTAAAACAAGAGACTTTTGCATAACTAGCTATCTATGAATAGATCAACAACATAGCATCCAAACATATCAAATGGTCATTTCATCCCATTGACTATCATATCCTTCATAGTTACTACATTATTCTTCCTAGATCAAGTGATAATTCCTAGCCTCATTAATTCAAAGTAAGATGAGTGATCATTCACGCAAGTTATTAAAGTCCTCATCTATAGCATCACTAGATCCCTTCTACTAAGGCCATCATACTCAAACTTTTGCCACATGCAATATGAACTTGACTAGATAATGTGTGTTTCGGTTCATGACATCACCTAATCAATGAAGAACAGAGAAATGAGGATAGCACATGATTAAGTGTGGGCCTCTTAAGATCTATCCTTCCTTCCTCCCTCTATCCCTCAACTCGGCTTGTTGGGCATAATCTTCCCTCACGAATAGTGTGACCTCTTCCCCTTTCTCTTCCAAATGGCTCCAAGTCTATTGGCACGACATGCCACGAAGAGGAGGAGGATCGAGGAGAAGACCTGGTTTCTGACATCATTCTAAGAAGGGTTGGAGGAACGAAGATGAGCTGAACAATAAGAAGCGTAAAAAAAAATCCTTACCAACAGTTAAGATTGCAACAAACTTTCCCAAAAGAGAAAGCTTTTGGATTATCATTGATAAGATGAAGACTTTTTCAGGAACACAGAAAGACAAGTTATCTAGGGGGGGGGGGGGAGAATGATTTAGTGGGGAAGACAGAGAAATAATGTTTTGATCACGATAGTCAAATTGCAGACGTCCTAGCCACTGTCAGAGATTTCTTTGACAAATATCCTTGAATAGTGAGAACGTCATATCAAAGGGAGAAAGAAGCCCTAATTGTAATGATGATGTTTACGATGTTTACATCATCCGGCAAGAAAAAAACTCTCTTGACTATTCTGAAAAGACAATAACAAACGTGGGAGAACCCTTGCCCGATAAGTTTCAAAAAAGGTTATCATTTGAAAATTGTTACCAAACATATCCCGTGAAGTATTCTCCAAGCACTCGTTCGCGACCAACAAATCATAGTTTTTCTGATTGCTCATGAATAGAGGGCCATTATTTGGGGATTGAGCACAAGACTCGGACAAAGAGAAGCTGTGCCTAATCTCAAAAGGTCCTATTGGCCTGAGGTGCAGACGTCCAACATGCACAAGGGTTGAGGTGACTACCTATTTCCATGACCAAGATGCCACACTAGGGTAAGAGCTAGGGACTGCCCGCAAGCACACCCGCCTAAGCAGTACTTGACCTAGTCACTTCCACTTCGAGGGTGTGAACACCGACCGCTCGACAGGCTGCCACACCAGGTGCCTGACTAAGGCACAACCCAACTTCCACTGAGGGGATAAGAGCGTGTGAACATAACACACCTCTCCCTCGAGTCAGAACTGGAGACACCACTACTCACAACATTCACCTTGCGATGAAGGTTTCACAGTTCACACCCGCGTAGGTTCATCCTGGTAGCAAAAGTAATTACAGTTTGTATAGGAACACCAAGAAGTGCTAATCACATGCAATGGCACTTGGGCGCAGGTAGGACTTTGATTTTCCTGTTTTTCACTCGATAATAGAGACGCACTAGTGCCGGTAAGAAGAAAAACAAATGCATAGAGAGCAAGAATTACAGTGGGAACCATCTGCCTACTCTGACCCAATTAAATTTCAATAAACCTGGAATTCGTGATCCAGCTACAAACCCTGTCAACAATTATCATACCTTACAACACGAACCAAAAAAGGAAAAATGGATGAAAAACTATACAGCATACAAAGTAGATACATGGCACAAATAAGGAGTGGAACGATAATAATATCGTCTGGCTGATTCGTATGGTAGTAGTAGTAGTATCCACATTCGAGGTCTCAGTGCAGTGATCAGCTTACAGTGTATCGTGGAAATGAGCGATTTAGTTGGGACTATTTGATTTCGACACCGAGCGGGTTGATGGGGATTAGAGCATCATTCCAATGTACTTTAACCTGCACAGTCCAGTACGTGTGTGTACCTACCAGCCAACAGAGCAGAATCAGAATGCCAAACAGGTAGTCGTACCAAAACAAGTTAATATACTACGATTTTTAATAAGCATCATTGCCATGGTAAACGCTTCTTTAATCTCAAATGCCAGGTATGATAGAAATTCTTATTTAGCACCCCAGAGAGGCAGAGACGGTAATGATATGGATCATGGATGAATTTGCTAAATATACCCAGGTTGATTAGGTTCAAAACCAAAAGAACTTTAATTTATTAAAACAGCCTAGGGTACTAACTCATAGGGACGGAAATGAACCAACATTCTTTCTTTCTTATATCTAAATGTAAAGTTGTGATATAAAGTTGAAGAACAAAGAGGAAAGAAAAGTGATGGAATATGTTCTTAGTTTTAAAAGATAAAAGAGGGGGGGGTGTTGGCCATCTAAAGCCAAAACTAATTAGATTCGTCACATGGGAGTGCGAAAACAGACAAAGTTGTACATGTGCAACACATACTTTTCTTCGTTAAAGAAAACATAAAAACTGACAAGATAAGTACCTGGCATCTCGTTAGGGTGCCCCAAGTCTTTCAAAAGACTCGATGCTACCCAGTCTGGGGAAGCCGCCTCCAGTTGAGTATCTGGTGAGATTGATGTCTCTGCAAGTAAGAAGAACTCGAACCCATTCCATTTTCATCACCAACAAACTGATCCGAGTAACTCGGAGTTGGAGGAGGAGACCAAACTGGAACCACGCCCCCATCCCTCTCCCTCCTTGTGCTTGAAGAAGATTCTGATGCAGAGTCGTCTGCAGCATTTGCCCCAACCCTAACCATGTTAACTTGAGGCAAAGGGTTAGCCCTGTAAACAGTCTGCATAACCTCTTCGTTTGAAGCATCTCCCCTCCGTTCTTGATTTACATTTCTTGGAACTTCCGCTCTGCTATCTTCTGCAGCATTTTGGGCATCTGCAGATGTTTCCTCATCATCCACCCCTCTAAGGATAGAAGTTGTCATGCTCGGCACCATCTGATCTTCATAACGGCGAACTGCTACCAAAGGATTGTTGTTTCTCATAGGTTGTTCATGATGCTGTTGTTCTTCCTCCTCCATTTGTATGTCCTGAGGGAATGCAATCGGTTCCAAGTCATAGGAGGATTCTCCAAGACCTTCTTCAGTGCCATTCTCAATTGCTGCTCTCGAAGCAGCCTCGAGTTGCCACATCTCAGAGAGTGCTTCTTCCAACCTGACTTTTGCAGCGTCTATTCCTACAATGGGGCGAGGATAGTTGGATCCCAATTCGATGCCAGCTGCTTGAAGGACTGATTCAGGTGCATTCCATGGATGATGTATCCATTCGGTTGGCAGCCTAGCTAGCTCGGGAAGCCAGCGACGGACATATTCACCATTAGGGTCGAATTTGTAACCCTGAAACTGTAGAAAGAAGATCACGAACAAGTAAAGTGTGTTCAATAAATTCAAAGTGAGCCCTACATATGCACTTCAAAATTCTACCAATGTCATTGTTTGGACAGTGAGATTAGCAGCAGCATACAATTGAATAGATGTATCAATTTTCATCTGAAAAATCTTATATATTTTAGGGCGTTTGAATTTTGTACACCAATCTCAAATGGTACAAACTATCTGCAAATGAGCCTAGAAAGTGGGTCCCAACTCCCAAATGTATATCATTTCCATTTTCAAACACAATTTCCCCCACAAATATTTGGGACCAAACCATGCTTTTGCGAGTACATCTCAGATAATACCATTCAAACATATAATGCAATCAAAACAAAAAACATCAATTTATGATTATTCTGAACAATAAAGGAAGCAAGGGAAAATGGATAGACAAATATAGTATATGATCACTAGCACTCCGACCATGTATCTGCATAACAAAAATAAATTAGCTATGTATGAGAGTACCTGTGGGTTATCAATGCGATCGAACTCACGTCCATCAGGGAGAGTTCCAGAAATGTATTGCCAACCAAGAGCATCGCTCTCTAAATCAGCATCCAAGAGTGTATCCCAGAAATATTTCATCCCCCATCTCCATGGAAGTTGCAGAACTTTAACAAAGAAACTTGAAACCACCACTCTTATCCGATCATGCATCCACCCTGTGGCCCATAATTCCCTCATTCCAGCATCGACTAAAGGATAACCAGTCCTTCCTTGTCTCCATGCCTTAAAATATCCCTCATCCACAACCCATGGAAAGAACTTGAGGTGCCCTAGGAGAGGCCTCTCGTGACTGTAGGGATGATTAAAACTCATGTACCTCGAGTACTCCCTAAGACCGATCGACTTGAGAAACAGATTCACGCTCTCTTCCCCAGCTTGGTTTCCTTCATTGGCCCACAAAACCTGCTTGATCCGAAGGAGATGAAAAACCTTTCTCACACTAACTTCCCCAAAATGCAAGTGAGGAGAGAGAAACGAGGTCGTGGCGCTGTCAGCCTTCCTACGGTTATTCGAGTACTCAAGCAACGGCCCATTGATAAATGTCGTCAAGGCTTTGTCAGCATTGCTCCACCCAGGTGACCATGCTCGAGCAAGGAGTGCATTGCTTGCCTTCTCCGATTCGTCTTCAAATACTAATGTACCGGAAGGACATCTCGAGACATCAGCTGCCAAAAATTAGCAGTACTATTGAGAATTGGCAAGAGTCAATTATGAGATAGAAAGTAATCGGGGAAACAACCAAAACCTGATATAATCCTCTTAGGCGGGAGTAAAGGAGCTTCAGGATCATAAGGCATGGTAAGGCATCTCTCCCAGAAGGAAGCAAAGGTGGAGAAAGGAAGGCCTTGAGCATCAGTAACATCCCATGGTTCATAAAGAAGGTCTGCATTGAAGGATCTCACAACTATTCCTCTAGCTGTCAAAACTTCCTTCGCTCTGTGATCCCGAACAAGTGACAAAGGATCTGAAAGAACCAGTAATCAAAATAGCAGCAACTCAGTTAACTTTTCAGTTCTCAATCTCCCATACGAACAGCAAAAATCAAAAAATGACCAAGCTTACGAAATCAAAAGATATCAACTTTATATTCGACGAATTAACAAAGCCATTGCAGCAGCTAAACCCAGTTTCCGAAAATGAAAACCCAAAAAAGAACAACAGAAATCAAGAGGAAAAGCATATAATACAAAATTACAGTGAAGGTTGAATATTAAAGTCTAATACTAATTTAACAGACAGCAGCAATCCCGCGACGAACCCAATCAATAACAAAGATTGGAAAACAAAAAGGAACGCCAGAAAAGAGGAATTATTAAAGAGAATTGAAAGGAAAAGTGGGGCAAGAGGAACGAACCATATAAGTGGTTGAAGAAGAGGTGAGTGGCGCCGGTGGATTGAAGGACCTGAAGGAGAGTAGAGAGGGAATCAGTGGATCTCTTAGTCAGCAAAGGAGCGCCGAGATTGCGCAAGGACGAATCGAGATGGGCAAGGCTGTGCTTCAACCACCAGCGGGACACCCTTCCAGGATAGTAATGGCCTTCCTCTTCCGGCGCCCATATAAACAACGGCACCACCGTCCCTGCTCTAACCCCAGCCGCCAACGCCGGGTTATCTTCTATCCTCAGATCTCTCCTCAGCCATACTACGCAACTGCACCCGCCGCCGCCGCCAGAGCCAGACATCCCCTTCTCTCTCCCAGTCTCCCCGTCTCTATGCACCAGCTCTCCAATCACCTCCGCCCCCACCTACAACTACAACAACACAACTCAAATTTCTCTCTCTCCAATCACCCTTTCCGCTTTTGCTCCTTCATTTTTTTGCATCGGTTTCTAATATATTCCTATTCGCTTATAGCATTATTCTATAGCTCCCTACTAATAGAAACTGCTTTTTATATCTAATCTACTACCAGAGACCAGACAGACTAGCCCTGCCCCTGCCAAGCAATTGATTATCGACAATAACCTTCCTGTTTAGGCCACTAATACAAGAGTGCTCTGCTATCACTCAAGCTCTAAGCTTAACTTAATCCAGGAAAACCACAACAACCCATAAATCTTAGAGAAAAGAAGGGGGCCGAAACAAACAGGATCTGCATTTCTGATCTCTAATCTAATGGATCACTAAAGCAATGATATGGATAGCAATTAGTGAATGTAGAAAGAAAGGACGGAAAGGGGAAAAGGGTGGGTGGGTATTGGATCTTTGCTTCTTATCTTCTTCGCACAGTTTTGTTTCTTGCCTTTTTCATTTCTCGCTCGATTAATTAAGGGTTGGTTTGTTTGTTGGATTTGAAAATGAAGTTTTTGAGTTTTGAAAACTTTTGGATTTATGATGGATTTGTTGTATTTTGTATTTGAAAGATAACATTGTTTGTTTAGTTGAATTTTTATCATGAATTTAGTTCATTTAGTTATCAAAAATTTACATTCCATAATGTGATATTTACAAATACGTGGGGTCCACGGATTTGGAGCTAAAAAAGTTGTCCACATTCGTGGGCCCCACGGATTTGTCTACCTTAACAAACAATGACTTTGGACAAAAAACATGATGGTTTGTATTTGGAGACTAGATACAACATCCAAATCCCATTAGCAAACAACACCTAAATCAAATTAAATTTCATCCTGAAAATGTCTTCATTTTTATTTGATCTTCGTTCTTAAGGGCTAAAAAGTCTACTCTCAAAATATTTGCAATATGATATAACTAGCGTATAACCCGACCCGTTGGTCGGAGGTTATTTAGCCAAATATTGGATTATTGGTATGGAGGTAATAATGTTTTTGGTTCATGTATATTGTGGAAGGCAACATCTCATTAGTCACTTGTTATTAGTTGATAACATAATAGGGAATAAGTAACGTGAATTTGTTTTAGTGTTTATGATAGCAAAGAAGACTGCAGAAATAAGACCCACTTCGAGTTAATTAAACTGAACATCTAGCAAGTATTCATTGTATCTACCAGACAAGCGAGGACAACACTTCAATTTGATTTTGATAAGAGATTTTCAGGAGTAGGCAAACCCCTAACAGTTGCAAAAATAACTAGAAAAAAATTAAAAATTGGAAGTCAAAAAAAATAAATATTTAATTATCCAAATTGAGATGAAGACTAAAATGTTGGTGATAATCCAAATGTAGCATGTTTGCAAAATATATAGGCATGAAACACATTTAAAAAGAAGAAAACATATTATCTATGTCCTTCTGGTTTGTTCATCTTCCCACCATAGTCAAGGGCTGTTGGTTCTGTTTGAGTTTGGGTAACCGAATAGAAACCCACAATACCAAAAAAACGTTATCCTTTGAAAACCGATCTCGAAACCGATAAGAGAGTTTTCAGTTTTGGTTACCCGAAAGCGAAAAATATCTTAGCGTTTTCGGGTTCGTTTAAGGCAAAACTGAAACCCGAAAATGAAACCACCCTATGAGATATGAAGCGTTTGTATTTTTAGCTAAACCCGAAACCGAAACTGTAAAATAAACCCGAAACCGTAAAATAAATCTCGAAACCGAAATTCAAACCCGAAACAGAATCGAAACCGAAAGCCCGACAATGCATCTTATTGGTTTGAGTTCGGTTAAAACCGAAAACCCGAACCCGAATTGACACCCCTACCATAGTCAGCATTCGCAAGAAAAAGAGAATGACAATAAAACTGAAAAACGTTCTGGAGGGATGGTGCTATGGCATCGTGTTTTCTTTTGAAATGATTGGAATATGTGCCAAATGTATACAATAATATTTGGAAATAATAACATCAACATCAATGTTGTTAGTACTTCCATTAGTGATGGCCTAGATGGGGATCCAAGAGTGGTCAACATCAATGTTGCATACTTAAAAATCTATATCCTATAACCCACACCATAGGAATCAGTAGAAAAAATATTTTCAAATCCAAAAGAGAACTGAAAAATTTCTCATTCTTGGAATTAACATCATGCAAAAGACACCAACGTAAACATAAGCAAATTTGTTTGTGCTGAAAGTTGAAGAATACAAAAATTGACTGTCAAAACATTAGGCATTGATATGATATAAGTTAAAAGGTTGATGATATTTCGGTATTGATATGATATAAGTTAAAGGTTAATGATATTTCAGTTTTCTCCTTAAACCCTCAAAAGTTTGCGGATGAGAAAAACGACATTAGCATATACATTCAGGAAGGAAAACTAAAAAAAAATAACAAAAACACTTGTAGAGGAGCGAAAGGGATCAACTCGAGGAGGGAGGTTTTCTTCAAATACTCGCCTATGCATATTTATGTAATTCAAAGGGGAGCAGATCCATACCAGTAAACTATATGAATGCCAATCGGCTAGATCAATTCCACTTGAATAGTAATCAAGTGATCAAACTACGCATTGTGTTAGAGGATATAATGTCCATATTATTTCTAATAAAAAAATAGATAACTTTCGAAAGAATAATAATATTTAATTCACAGAGAGTTACTATAACCCACTTCTGTATGAGCAGTCAGAAGGCAGAACCCTGGTGACCTCGGAGCGAACAATTGAACTAAAGACTTTGAAGAAGCCAGTCGCTCCCCAAATGCAACTACAATCAACTACACAGAGGGAACAATTGAAGCATATCTTAAATGCTCCAAGCAAGTTGAAGGCAAACCATAACTTTAATATTTGGTCATTATAATAGCCTTAGAATATCGATGCTTCTGAGAACTATCAATCCCAACCCCCACTTATACAACTATCGTAGCCATAGTAGTTAGTTGTATAATGACGAAATGTTAAAAAGAAAACAACATAAACAACCATTGTAAGTAAATATTGAAAGGAATAACTGATAAAACTTATGGTTTAAACCTGCCTCTTAGTGACTACTATCCAATTGAATTTAACTTATTTTTAGGCGTTGATAAAAAGTATAGATAGGTCACAAATGAAGACCCAACAACTGAAGGTAGCACACAAAAGCCAAATAAGGAAAAGAGATAAGGAAAAAGGTGAGAAACAGTCAAACAAAGAAAAAGCCCGCATAGGAACACTTTGCTAGCTTTAGGGACTCTTTGTCATAGCAAACAACCCTGTAGAAAATCCAAAACTCTGAAATATCAAACAACCCTCCCACGACACTAATGTATTGCATGCCTATTTTTCCAATAGGTTCGTCCAATTCAACCTTCAAAACAAAATTCGTATATCGGATTACTTCTAAATAAATGGACTTTTCACCATTAAACCAAAACTCACCATCATTAACAGTTAATGCAAAGACATACATTTTCAGGCCAATCACAACATTTTGTTGGGTGAAGCTCTGTCCACTGGCATCTTACATTTTAGGAAAGGAAATCGGAAATGGACAGGCAAAGAGCAAGAAGAGGAAAGGCCAAATTAAACGAAGGAAATCAAGACGTGAGATTGATTTGAATACAGAAGGCAACAATTGATTCTCTAAATCAGAAGACAACGGGTGGGAAGAAAGCTTAATATAAGTGAGAAGAAAACTTAGGACTAGATCATCCTTTTCGAGCAAACCTTCAAAAACAGAGACTAGAGTGCTTACTGTGTTTTGAATAGAAAAGGAAGAGGAGCTGTCGGGGAGACAGGTTGAGTGTTTGGTGATCTGAATTCAAGCAGGGAGCTGAATTTGGATAGGAAGTCTGATCAAGTGACGGGGAGTCACCTCGAGATTGATTGTAAACTGTAATCTGAACTCTACCATCATAGTGATCGTCAAAGGACTCGAAACAGAGTGCCTTTGACCGTGGATTAGTCGGTACTGAATTCATCAGTACCGGATACCACGTAAAAATCGTGTCTGTGTTTTATTTGTGCTCTACTCTGCTTCTGTTTCTTTAAATTTCCAGATTGATCTTGTGTTCTTGTTACAGTGCAAAGCTGAGTCTTGTGCAGGACAGGTTTGATCGAGTTGCTTAAGAAACTGAAGAGAAACAGAGAAGTTAAAACACAGCGTTTAAGTTAATCAACTTGGGCCAACTAAACCACAGGGAAAGAAAGACTATCGGCCCAATCCATAAACGTGCTGTCGTTTTGATTACTTAGAACGGGAAGTCTCTTAACCTTTCTATCGATTGAAACTCAACTCTATACCACACTTTTCACTTGTTCTTGCCGAAACGAGATTAGGGTTTCGCAGGGTTCCAGTTGAGAGCAGAACAAGAGGGAATCAACTCCTGAGTCTCGCGCTCGACTACACCAACAAGTGGTATCAGAGCCCGGCTCCGGCGTAAAAGGCTTAATCACCTCCGGAGATGGGTTCGAGTGCGAACGCGGGAGGAGTATTCATGGCTGATGGGTTCTCACAGACAAGACCGCCTCGCTTTGAAGGAGTGCATTACGGGTACTGGAGGAATCGCATGGAGCTATTTATCGGGTCAACTGATCCGGATCTTTGGAATATAGTGCTGGATGGTCCACTCGAAGTCAAGGAGGCAAGAGGGAAATGGACCGACGAGGATAAGAGGAATTTCCAACTGAACTCGAAGGCCACAAACTTGATGTATTGCGCATTGGGGCCGGAGGAGTATCATCGGGTTTCTGGATGCAAAACCGCGAAGGAAATCTGGGACAAACTCCAGATTGCTCACGAAGGTGCTACTCATGTCAAGATTTCAAGGATAAATGTTCTCAAGCAAGAGTTCGAAGCATTCGTGATGAAACCGGATGAAACAATCAAAGAGATGCATGATAGGTTTACAACCATCGTCAACAGTCTGAGAAATTTGGAAGTCGAGTATACAAGTGCTGATCTGGTCAGAAAGGTACTCTGGGCTCTGCCGAGGAAATGGACGCCCAAAGTCACTGCAATAGAAGAATCCAAGGATTTAACCAAGCTCAGCTTAGACGAGCTGATGGGATCTTTAGTTACACATGAAGACAAGCTGAGACGAGAAGAAGGAGAGGAACCAAGAAAAGAAAAACGCAGTATAGCCTTCAAAGCTTCAGAACAGGAAGAGGAGTTTGAAAACTTGGACGACATGGAGGATGATGAACTGGCCATGTTAAGTAAACATGTGGCCAAGCTATTAAGACTGAGAAAGGAGAGAAGAAGAAACACCAATGGTCGAATGAAGGAAGCTGACTCAGACAAAGATCAGTTCAAGCAATCCAGACAGAATACCAGATTCAGGAAAGAAGTAGCTGAGAAGAACACATCCC